CCACATGACTGGATCGAGGTATTTGTGTAACAGCCACTACGAAAATCCTCTTTTTCGACACTTTTCCGTACGAATATACATAAATTTTGAGTAATAGTTTATACGAAGAAAATTGTTTTTATCTATACAAAAGAGTACCAATTTCATTTTACAGTGATATAATGAAAAGTGGGTGAAGATTTTGGTTCTTCGGGGGGGTACATTATGATTCTCTAAAATTACTTGTAAAATTAGTATTTGGGTTGGTTACCCCTGCATGAATGGGATGGGGTGGGGGTAGAATGATTATCATATGTACCCCCTCCTTCTAATATTTTTGTTGGTTTGTCTCCAGGTGGGGTTGTCCTAGCTTGCCTTTCCTTCACCCCTGTGAATGCAATGGGAAGAATTGGGTATTATTGTTCAGCCGGTGGGTGGTGCACGAATTAACGGTTTCCGTTTCTGTTACACCGCAACATATGAAACGGTGCAACCACCTGAACATGGAAAACGGTTTCGTAACGGCGTATGATGAGGCGAAAGGACATCGCTTTGGGAATGGCGTGTGAAGGCCAGCTCCGGCTACCCCACAGAGAGCAAGAGACCTCTAGGAGGGAGAAAGAGGGTCAGGGAGGGAGGGAGGGAGGGAGGGAGGGAGGGAGGGAGGGAGGGAGGGAGGGAGACAGAGGAAGGAGGAGAGAGGAGGGGATGGGAGAGAATGAGGAGTATGACTGGGGTGGCGTCGGGAGCGCAAGGGGATGGAGGCGGGGAGACAAGGGAGGGGAAGGGAGGAGGTACCTGAGGAAAAGGATGCTCATTCTTCTTTCTACTTCTCCTCTTCATCGAGTCTGACCTGCTGCAAGCTCTGCTGTCAGACGCTCATCTGACTATCATGAAGTCAATCACCTCGTCATATGTCTCTTTGCTTGCGCTCCTCCTCCTCCTCCTCCCCTCCCGTCTCCTCCTCTTCCCTCTCCTGTTCCTGCACTTGCTTTGATTCTCCCTACAACTGTGTGAGGAAGCAGTTTGACACTCCAAGTGTTGGGCCCAGGAGAAGCAAGAGGAGGAGGAGGATGGTGCTGGTGCTGGTGCTGGTGCTGGTGCTGCGGATGATGATGATGATGATGATATTGCTGCTGGTGCTGTAGCTGGTGCTGTTGTTGCAGCTGCTGCTGGTACTGCTGCTGGTACTGCTGGTGCTGCTGCTGGTGCTGTAGCTGGGAGGTACCGAGGATACTCAAAACAGCAGGCGATGTTATTTTGAGGTCTGCGTTGGATAGACCTGCAGTCTCCTCCTCAGATATTCCGCGCCCCCCCTCTCCCGACGACCCTCCCCCCTCTCATTCTGGCCGTTACTAAAAAATCTACGGGAAGGTAGTTCTGCATATGATAGTGGTGAGGGGGTGCGGTGCGTTGGGGAGAACGGGGCGGGGGGGAGCTAGTGGGATG